CCAAAAAAAAAAAAAAACGAGTATGAATGAATTACTGATACTCGGTGCAAACACAACATGCAATAACGATTTAACATGACAACGCTTTGTGACCTCAGTTTCAAGAATTGGGTAGAAATAACAATGGACGCTGAAGTTGGCAGACATCCGAACGCTTATACCTGTAGTCTGTAGTACTGTATATAAGCAAACAGCATAAAAGTAATGAAATCTGTTAAGGGAAATCAATATACGAACCGTAATATATCCACAGATGAAAGGACTCATCGCTATCCTGAGTGCATTTATAATCCCCTTCATGGTTATCTGTGGCATGCATTGCCTGGAGGGTGCTACTTCCGCTGCCCACTGGCGATTGGACGACTAGCTGACCGCTTGCCAGTTCTGGCTCAAGCGATTGCCCGTTCCTAGTCCATCTGATCAAATCGTCCGACTTCAGGTTGCTACATTTGATTGACCAAGGTTGATTCTCGTGCACGACCGACGCTCCCGTGTAGGTTACTTTATTGGGAAGAACATTACAACATCAAGAGGTGAACAACAACTACACATATATAATTTTGTATAAATGTCTGGTTTCTATAAAAAAATAGATTATAAGTGTACTAAGTTTCTAAAGAAATGACTATCTTTACTTATTGCATCAATGACGTTTTACAATATATTCTACGGTGCAAACTATATGATTGATCGGGATTTGATTTTTAATTTTGATTAAAGATTTCCTTATTAAATATAATATTTGGCATAATATTCATAATTATTACAATAAATCTTTTCTATAATAATGTTTCTGATGTTTATATTAATTTTTTTACAGACAATTAATATACCTATATATTTTTTTAATCTAATAATTGACAAATCAAATCTTGGTTATGTAGTATAGTCACATACTAACTATTTTTTTAGAATTATTCTTATTTCTGAAAGAGTACAATGAATACAAAATAATTATAAGCTACATAATGAAGAAAAAAGAGAAAAAATTCTTCAATGAGAATATAATTTTTTCATTCTCAGTAGAAAATAGAATTCTGGTCAATTGACTCGCAGAAAGGAATCGAAACCGGCCGGCGCCAAAAAGTCAATCACAACAAGACGTGCAGCAGGAATGCAGGAACATCGGTAACGAACACGTTGATCCGGTTCCCCGAGGTAGAGGACAGACACGTTCAACGATTCCTATTTATTTTTAGCGATTTATTCTTTTATAACGTCCCGTCGTCCTCGTAGACATCAACTCGACCAGATGAAATTATAATACATGCAAGCTCGAGGAAAAAAGTGATAACCATCATATTGAAGTGACCTATAAAATAGCTATTATCTTCTGTCTTCTCTATTATAAAATATATCATAAAGAGAAAAAATATATCATATTTTTTCAAGAATCAATGTTTACAATTTAAACATTTATATAATAT